CCGTGGCCTTCACCCGCTGCCCACCCCCCGGTGCCCTCCCCTTATTCCTCCTTCCATTATTTACCGGGGTGTCCCGTCCCCCTCCTTCTCATCCCGAGGCCTCCTCTGCCCCCGAGGCCTCTGTCTCCTCATGTCGGTGCCCCCGGAGCTGGAGGCAGTGCTGGGGGCCGGGGGGGTTGTCTCTCCAAAAAGGATCAGAATCCCCCTCCCGCCCTCACCCTCCTGGGGGTGCAGCCCGCGTTCCTGTTGGTTTTCTGGGCTCCTGTGGAGCTTCTCCACCCCCCCAAAGCCCCCAAGTCCTTCTCCCCGGGGCTCCTCTCCCCCCCCTTCTCCTCCCCCAGCTTGGATTTGGGCTTAGAATTGCCCCCATCCCAGTGCAGGATCTTCTCCTTGGCCTGGTTGAGCTTTGTGGGGTCGGTGGGAGGCAGCCTTTTCCACCAAAACCCTCACAGAAATAATCAGGGGGGGTTTATGTGGGGGGGTGTGTGTTTCTCCAGGCCCCCCTCGTGCTGTCTCTCCGCCAAGGCTGGCTCCAGGTCCCTCCTGGCCTCCCTGGCGTCCAAAGCCAAGCGCCTCAACGGCAGGGACGAGAGGTTTTTGGAAAGGACCTTCCCCCGCTTCTACGTCCTCTACGCGACCTTCACCAGAGGTGGGTCCCTGAGGGGTGGGAGGGGACAGGAGGGGACATCTCAGAGAATCGTAGAATCCTTGGATTTTCTGGGTTGGAAGGGACCTTTAAGATCATCAAGTCCAACCATCAGCCCACCTCTTGATAAAACCCATCCCTCAGCACCACGGGTCTAAGTCTGGAGTGCCGGCGGGACGCTGACGGGGAAAAAAAAGATCACTCTGGGTTTTTTTAGGAGTTTGTCTTTAATATTGAGGTAATATTTACTTGCCCTAAACTTCAGAAGCACTGAAAAAAAAACCAAAACCCAACCCTGAATTTGCGAATCTTTAAAAGGGATTAAATTATCAAAGTCTGGTCATTTTCAGGGGAAAATGACTCCATTTTTTAACAGGTACTACTATTATAAAAGTTTGAGTTGTGGTTGTAAAGGCTTAAGAGACTGATTCTGGGGGAAAACACAGGCTCCTGCAACAAATCCTGGTAGGACAACCTCCTGGCCAGAGGTGGTGGCTTCTGTAGGTGGTGTGTGCTTCACCAAGTGTGTGTTGTGACCACGATTTTGGGAAGAAGAAGGTTAGAATTCCCACTCTTTCATTTTTTATTTGGAAGACGTGGAGCAGGTAGTGAATTGCAGCACCAGGAGTCCCTCCCTGGGTTTTACAGCCCAGTTTTTGGGTGAGATGCTCAGGGTTTGTTGTAAGGACCGGGTTCATGGTTCTTTACTTGTGAGCGTGGGCTTCCTGACCTGTGTTGGTGCTGGAGGGAACACGTGGGTCTTTCCACGCTTCATAAATGGTCACCTCTTCATCTTTTGGGGCCCTGCAAAGCAAACCTCGCCGCAATCTTGGTCCAGTGCTGTTCAATATATTCATCGGTGACCTGGATGAGGGCACAGAGTGTATCCTCAGCATGTTTGCTGATGGTACCAAACTGGGAGGGGTGGCTGACACTCCAGAGGGCCGTGCTGCCATCCAGCAAGATCTGGACAGGCTGGAGAGCTGGGCAAGGAAGAATCTCATGAGGTTCAACAAGGAAAAGTGCAGGATCCTGCACCTGGGGAAGAAGAATGTCAGGCATCAATACAGGTTAGGCATGGACCTGCTGGAGACAAGCTCTGAAGAGAAAGATCCTGGTGGACCCCTAGACAATGAGCAGTGTGCTCTTGTGGCCAGGAGGGCCAACGGAATCCTGGGCTGCATAGGGAAGAGTGTGGCCAGCAGGTCAAGGGAGGTCATCCTGCCCCTCTGCTCTGCACTGGGGAGGCCACAACTGGAATACCGTGTCCAGTTCTGGGCTCCACAGTTCAAGAGGGACAGGGAACTACTGGAAAGGGACAGGGAGCTACTGGAAAGAATCCAGCATAGGGCTACAAAGATGATTCAAGGATTGGAGCATCTCCCTTATGAGGAGAGGCTGAAAGAGCTGGGACTCTTTAGTCTGGAGAAGAGAAGGCTGAGGGGAGACCTTATTAATGCCTACAAGTATCTCAAGGGTGGGCTGAGGGAGGATGGAGCCAGACTCTTTTCAGTAGTTGCCAGTGAGAGGACGAGGGGCAACGGGCACAAGTTGGAACATAAAGGGTTCCACTTGAATGCGAGGAAGAACTTTTTCACGGTGAGGGTGGCAGAGCCCTGGAAGAGGCTGCCCAGGGAGGTTGTGGAGTCCCCTTCTTTGGAGATTTTCAAGACCCGCCTGGATGCTCCTGAGTAACGTGCTCTGACAAGCTCTGGGTGGTCCTGCTTCAGCAGGGGAGTTGGACTAGATGATCTCTATGGTCCCTTCCAACTCTAAAAATTCAGTGAAATTCAGTGATCATTTATCTCAAGGAGCAGCCCGTACTCAAACACTTATTTTAAGTTGAATATAACCCAGGTGTTGGCTTGAAAAGCCCAGGAAGGTGTTTCCTTGCAGAGGGAACACAAGGGAATTACACAAACCCCACCCAAACCCCTTGGTTTTTACCCTCCTCCAGGATTTTTTTCCTTCAGGCTTCTTCATCTCGGGGGAGAACTCACCCTCTTCCCTTCCCGGGGATAAAAAAACACCTCACTGGGGGGGTTTTCCTGGGGAACGGGGACCTGAGGGTGCTCTTCTCTTTGGGCAGGAGTCCAGATGCTCTTCCTGGAAGTCAAAGAAATCAGGAAAATCAAATCGAAGATGCACCATCAGAGACTGAGTGTCCAGCAGCTTCCCTACCGGGACATGGAGAGGCTGCGACAGGTACGGCCCGATGCCGGGGACACGTTTCAGGGCCACCCGCCTCTGCCTCACCCCAAAAAAGGGCTCAAACTCACATGCGGGGCTTCAGGGAGGGGTTGGAGAGGCTGAGTCATCCCTTTGAGGCCCGTTTCCTGCCTAAAACCAGGGTTTTTTGGGGGGCTGAGGGAATTTTGAGGGAATTTCACGCGTTCGGTGTTGAATCCTGATTTTTTTCCCTCCTGTTTCCCGGAGGCAGTTTCGTCGGGACGTGATCAAGGCCCTTCCCATCGGAATCATCGCCATCCCCCCCTTTGCCAACTTCTTGGTCATTGTCCTCATGTGAGTAGGGGGGGTCGTGGTGACCAGGATCTTCAATGTCATGGAATTGAGGGGGGGTGGTGGCAGCGTGTGGTTTCTTTTTGGGTTGTAAACCCAGCCGGGGGGTGTCCCCTCCCTCCCTCCCTCTGCCTGGAAT